ATTACTACTACTACTAAAAACACCAGGCACAGCAAATCAAAATTACTGTATAAAAACATTAACTGCTATTATAAAACAGACGCAAGTTTTAAGGCGGTTGGCAGGACTTACTCCGTTGGTATTTCCCGACCTTCTCAGTGAGGGTCAATTTGACATCCGCCATCTTGCAGTTTTGCCTGGAAAAAAGGGAAACAAGAGCATTATCCAGATGGGCTAAAGACATCTTTCCCGAACCGTGATAGGGAGAGACGACCGATCCATGTCGGCGTCTCCTTGAACAGGTAGAACACCTCTTTTTCAGATCGCACAACAATACCCATGCTCCCCTCTCCCCCCCCCACTTCCTGGACCATCTCCTTAAAAGGCTAATTTTTTAAAAAGTCTGTTGACCGAGTAAACCCCCTTCCCGGGGAAACATACTCGGCGACAGGTGAGCGGAAAATAAGACTGCCCTTCTCTCCGGCCTCCACGGTCACGCGATAGAGGTGCTCGTTGGTGACGTAGCCGCTGTCCAGCGCCGTTCCCACCGTGTACCAGGTTCCGTAAAACTAGAGGAAGGAGGCCATCGCTGTTATCTGCATCGCTCCTGGACCTCCCTTGGATCCTGCCCTCTCCTGCTCCCAAGGTCCCCGGCCCCTCTTCACCGTCCCCAGAAAGGAGGACGCAGATCAGCCCCTCACCAAAAGGAAAAGGTTGTCAGATTTCCTCCATCTAGCAGCTCAGGAAGGACCGAGAACACTAAGGCAGGCTTTGCAGGATCCGGCCCATTTCCACCCCTTTCTGGAGCCCCTTTCTGCTCTTACCCTTTCTGGAGCAAAATCCGGCTGAGTGATGAAAGCCGCGGCGAATCTCAGGAGGCATAAACCGGCCAGCGCTCCTTCCCAGGGGACGCCCATCATCTTCTCCGTGGCCGTCTCCGGAGGCTTCCCGAGGGCAGATGGGGGTTTCTTCCTGGTTTCCCCCTCCCTTTATAACCCTCCCTTTAGGTCTCCAGGTGCTACCAAGCAAACCCGCCTCACAGTCCAGAGAGCTAATGACCCAGAGGGGAAAAAAAGACAAAGTACCGGCCATATTTCCAGAAGACGCTGTTCCGAAGGTGGGCCTCCACTGATAACTCGGGAACAGGTTGACTTTTTTTATAGATTCAGCCATGATCACCTTGATCTGATAGCCTCTCCTTGGCAAAGCAGGGGAGGGAAAAACTGATGCATGATCAGCTTCAGCACCATTGGGTGTCTGGATGGTGACCAAATCACCACCTTCCTCCAGAAAATCGTCCACATATTTTTGCAAACAGAATGGCCCAAGTATCTAAAACTTGAGCCCCTCTGGCTGCAATCATCTGCCATGATCCACAGAAGTTTTGCTTCCTTTTATAATCCCACTTTCCTACACGGCCACCTAAATTTGGCCCTCTGGGACCTCCTAAAAATATTTCTGACGGTGGCATTTCTCAGCAGCATCCTCTGCCTTGCCTCCCTGTCTGTTTTACACCAGGGTCTGGCCCACAGCCCTGTTTTAGATAAGCAACGGGTGGGGATCCCAAGCCACCAATTTCAGAACAAGTGGGCACACGGAGGTCGATAGCCTTGTTTTAAAGAAAGCCTGTACTGTCAGAAAGCAAGATTCCCCCTTGAAAAATAAGGTGCACACCTCTGTACACTTTATTAACATGGCGGTGGGGGAAACCCACCCATTTGGCCACACCTCACCACCCCCAAAATCTGTGGCACATAGCAATTCAAGAGTAGCCAAAGCTAGGATTCCCTGTGGCTAATGGTTTATGCCTTTCCCGGCCCATCCTATTTCCAATCATGAATTAATATTAGGCACCCTTATGGTTTTTCCTGTTGTGATGTATGGAAGTGAGAGCTGGACCATAAAAGAAGGCTGACTGTCAAAGAATTGATGCCTTTGAATTGTGGTGCTGGAGGAGGCTCTTGAGAGTCCCCTGGATTTCAAGGAGAACAAACCTATCAGTTCTAAAGGAAATCAACCCTGAGTGCTCACTGGCAGGACAGATCCTGCAGCTGAGGCTCCAGTACTTTGGCCATCTCATGAGAAGGGAAGACTCCCTGGAAAAGGCCCTGATGTTGGGAAAGTGTGAAGGCAAGAGGAGAAGGGGACGACAGAGGAGGAGATGGTTGGACGGGGCCATCGAAGCGACCAACATGACTTTGACCCAACTCCGGGAGGAGGTGGAAGACAGGAGGGCCCGGCGTTCTTTGGTCCATGGGGTCACGAAGAGTCAGACATGACTTAACAACTAAACAGCAACAAAATTTTCCTAATTAAGAATTCTGGAAAGTGATTACTTCTGAAAGCTAAAAGCCCTAAGGTTTACCATTTGGACATTTCAGAAGGATGCTGAAGACGTGACGTGATCTGTCCCAAACTCAACATTTTTCTCAGACGTTGGAGGAGTGTGATCGACTTGGGGGCAGAGCAGGGAAAGTGACTCAGAAGCCCATTGAAGATGGCCAGATTATGGCTCTTTGGGTCACCTCAATCCCATTGAGACAGAACTTTGTAGGACGCAGAATCCACCATGTGCAGAGTGCTTGTCAATGGACCAGTAGACAGTGAGGGGTTTCCACCCAAAGCATTGGTGTGTTGGCCTCCACCCTTCACACTGGCTGACCTTTCTGAGCCCTTGTCAAAGGCAGCCCCAGACGCAGCCCTTTACAGTAGTCTAAGCATGATGTCACTAAAGGCACATGGCCCCATAGTCAGATCGGACGTCTCCAGAACAGACGTGGTTGGCCCACCAACCTTGCGCTCTCACTCTAAGACAGCATGAGAACCATTAGGCCCAAATTTAAGACTGAATCTGGCCAAAATGTCCCAGCAAAGCCTTTTAAGGTAGACCATAAAGTGTGTTGATCATTGTGGTGATTTAGTAGTTGCATTATTTAATTAATTTAGATTTGTTTCGACTAGCCCCTTTGAGTGCAATTTCCAACGGATGCATGGAAAGGCATGCTGATATGATTTTTTTTTAAAAAAACCTAATCAATACTCATTCTCCCTTCTTCCTTTTGACTGACAAGATCCATTTCTGTCTTGTCCAGATTAAGTTTTAATTAATCCGCCTACTGACACCATACACCGGTTTAAAATTTGGACGGTTTCCTCAGATACAGGTGGGGGGAAAAGCTGGGTTTATGGGAATTGTTGACTTTATCTGGAAGGCATGATTGCAAAACAATGTATTAGCCCTATAATGTCCTTAGTAAAACCCGGAGTGGATTCCCTACTCCCCATGAACCTGGAGTCACAAACCTCCGGGGCAGACTCCCATTCATTTTGTTAGTGGTAACAACCACACATGAGGTCTTATGGGCTTTTCCAGGCGTGAACCAACACCAGATTTCAACTGAATGTGTATGTATATAATGCACACAGAGTTTTACTGGGGTTATAAAGACAGCTGAACACCACCAAGCTTTGCATAGGATTCATTTTATATATTTATTTATTTGTGTAGGAAGATAAGTGGTGAAAACCACAGAGCGGATGGAACTGGCAGGGCATGGAAGACCACCCAAGAATTCAACAGCTCTGAAAGTTCTGGCGATCTGTTTAGAGAAGGCAAAAGAGCGAGAAACCAATCAAACTGTACCGCGGCCATCTATTTAACGAGGAGTCTCGTACATGGCAGGATTATTTCAAGATGCGCTTCCACATTGCAGGAATTTTATCTGTGCAGGCGTCAGACTCAAGTTTGCCCCTGCGGAAGGAAAAGAATAAGATCATCCTAGCAAGATTTGCAATTAGATTTGGGAAACAGTCTCCTCCTCTATTGCCAGCTTCTGCATATTCCTCCTTTAAATTTTCTTTTACCTGTCTCTTTTTTTTCCTCCCTCGTCCTTCCCCCCCCCCAAATAACCCTGAAGTGCAGAATTTGCCAAAATCAGTCCTTCATATTTGGAAATGCTGCTTTGAGAAACCCAGAGATTTCCCAGAAAATTCTTGTTGGGGACGAGAATTCGGTGCAGGGGTAGGCAAAAGAGAACTTCAGACTTTTGTAAAGAAAGGCTCTCCTAGGAACATACCAAAGCGTAAAGAAAGGCTCTCCTAGGAACATACCAAAGCGCTGTAAGCTGAGCCAGGTATTGGGTCTGTCTCTAGTCCTAAATTTCTGATGCTCACAGGAGCCATGGCTGTCCAGAGTTTAGGGCAGGATCCTTTCTCAGCCCTCCCTGGAGAATCTCCAATACATCCAGGTGGTCTCCCAAGTCGGACAAAAGCCGGTGTGTTGAGGGTGCCAGGGTACACAACGGTGGTGCTTTGGTTGAAGGAACCTCCATTTTGAGACCACCTTCTGGAGCCCTCCCCATCAGCATCCCTGGATCGTTGCCGTCCGAGTCAAAGGGGCGCTGCCGATTCTGGACAGGCCCTTGGGCTCCTGCGTTAAGTGTAACGAGGTATGTGCCGATTCCTGACCCCCTTCGCTCAAAAAGAGGAAACACCTTAACCCATGCTGTGGAATCGGACTCGCGGCCAACGTTTGGAAATAACGCGTTAAATTTAACTGGTGATGTACAGGTTCATTTTCTCTAACCCCACCTTCAAAAAAGAGATCAACTGTTTTCACTCACGCTTCTCCGGGCAGCCTAAGAAAAGGGGTTCGGCTCAAGTTATTCTGCTTCCTCAGCCTTACAGGTGTCCCCAAAGTCAGGGAAAGCCGAAGGGGGTTCACACATGTCTGTTTGCACGGTTAGGTAGATCAGCTTGTTGACGGGGAAGTTGATGCACTTGGCAACAAAGAGGTATTTTTCCTTCACGGCGTCCGATGCCTCTGAAGTCCTGCCTTCCAACCAAAACAAAGGGGGGGTGTTGCCGATTATGACCAAGGACCAGGGAAACAATGAACAGGAGGAGGATGCTGTAGCTGAAGCACTGGGCTTAGGCTAGGAAGATCCAGGGTCCCAATCCCCTCCAAGCTATGGAAGCTCACTCAAGTGTCCCCGGTAAATTCCTCTCTCACAGGGGCCAAACTATAGCTGACAGACAAGCTGTCATTAGAAGCCCAAACCTTGCCAAGTGCTGAGGCAATGCGATTTTGCAGACTGCAGTGACTGAGCAGTCAGGACATGCAAATGAACCCTGTGCTAGCCTCACAATGACCAATCACAAAGCAGAACAGACTGACTGGCAGGCTTCAAGAGATCTGAAAAGCTCCTGCTATGACAGTTGGTCCATTTCAGCACTCAAGGGTTCCCACCTTCTGTAATGTGTCGGTTGACCTTGACAGACCTGACGATCTTGTACCCGTAAATGCACGAATACATTCACACACACACACACATTTCCGACACGTACTGTAGAGGTGGAGAGCCCTGATACTGCCCGTCTGAACTCCGATGATCGCAAAGCTGGCGTAATCGGTCTCGATAACGGTGACGGGATTGTCTTGTTTACCTGAAACTGAACCACAAAAAAAAAGCGCACGAAATGAAAACTAAATCACATCACACAAGTATCCCTTCCTCCCCCCAATCTAGAGTGCAAACTCCACGTGGTACACACCGCCTCACTTCACCGAGGTACACTGATGAACCGACAGATGCAGGGAAGGTTTTGAAAATACAAGGGAAGCCAACAACTTCCTCTCTCTCTCGAAAACCAAGAATAATGTTATCGTACCTTAAAGATTGACAAGCTTAATTTTGTACCAGCTTGGCTGTCCAAGACACGGAACAAAATCTGGCCACAGGATCATTCATGATGCTTACGTCTCTTTCCTTGGGTCACCTCTCGACAAACTGTTCAAGGACCGTAAACGACCCCTCTGTGATCAGATTCAGATCAGTCCCTTTGTTGATCATCTTGGTGTTTCGCTTGTACACCCCTGAGTAAGAATGTCTCTCCCCCCCCCAAAAGGCAAAGCTCCCTCTTTCTGAGAAAGTGGGCTTCGGTGTGCAAAAACTTAAATCAAACAAGATCTTCTTGGGCATTTAAGAGGCCCCGAAGACCTCTTAAATGTTGTTTTTCCTGCAATGTACTAGCACGGCGATCTCTCCTGTCTAAAAAATTAAAAAAAGAGGGGGGGGAGAGATTTTTGCTTACACTTACTTCGTCTGAATCTGCCAGGTTTCCCGCTCATACATAAATCAAAATGGAGTCTCTTGCAGTCTTCCCTGGAGAAAAGAAGATCGCAAGGTTTCGGTAGCAAGGTAGACAACTCAAAGGACGTCCAGTCCGAGGAGCGCCGGCCGGACAAGGAAGGGGAGCGTCATAACCTGGTCCAGCAAAACTTACTCGGGCATCTGGACCATGATGGAAAAGCTGTCATTCTCCCTCGCCTTCAAATGGATTTGGTGCATATTTGTGTTTGTCAGTTCACCGCGATCCAATATGACGGCGATAGAAAACCACTGGCCTTCAAACTGGAAAGGAAAGGGAGCGATTTGGAAAAAACTCACTGCACGGATGATGCTCATGAAAGACCATCCTTCCCCACTCACTGCTGTGAGTCCCACCACTCCACAGAGGAAGGGTTTCGCGGATTTGCAGTCTGACCCCAAAATTCAGGGGTTAAACATACAATCCATCCCTTCCTTCCATCAGCTAGTGTTGACCGAAGGTGTTGCCAGTATTGTCAGAAGGAAGGAAGCTTCTTCTAGTTTCTTTCCGCATCTCTCTTCCTTTGTAAATGAAACAGCCTTTGTTGTTTTAAACAGCCTTTGGGAGCCTTTGTTATCTTACCCAGCAAAGTACAGGGAAAGGGTTGTAAAAACCTGTTTTAAAATTATTTTATTAGACTCCGAATTCATACCAAACCCACTTGTTAACTAGGGGCCTTCGAAACAGATCACTGTTTTCTTCCTCCTATGGTATGGGTTTTTTAAAAAAATCCCTATGGGAAGATCTTTCCGTTCTTACCTCTTCACAGTTAAAACGTGGATGTGTAAGGAAAGCAGTGGCAACGTGGAGCAAGCATAGACCAGTTACTGCGAGGATCCACGGCCCCTTTTTCATCTTGTCCACCCTGTTTCTCTCCAAGGTGACGACAGCCAAGGATGGCTCCTTCTAACGATGGCCCCCCATTTTATAACCCGCCCTTTATGTTTCCAAAGTTCATCCAAGCACGCACGCCCCTTTAACCTGAAAAAAAAAGAAATGAAAAGCTATCATCTGGAGTTTTGTGATTATTTTTTTAAAAGGGTAGAAAAAAAAAGATAACTAGGTTATTTTGAGAAGTTGTTCCAGGGGGTGGGTAGATCCTTGAAACTTTAGGACAGTGTGTGTTGGTCCAAGGATCCTCAAGATGATGGTTTGGGTGAGATATCGCCACCAGGTGTGGGAGCAAGTTCGCGACGGACTCTGAGCACCAAGGGCTAAGCTGGATGGGGATCAAATACAGCCCTGAGGTCTTCAGATGTGGGAGGTCCTCTGGTTCATGCGTACCCAGAAGGTCCCAAATATTAACTAGTTTGTGAGTTTGGACTTCACATCCGTGGCAGGCGTTGCTTCCTTCTTCCTGTTTCTGATTTCTTATTGAGCCATCTAAATCTGGCTCCCGACATCTCACAACCGTATATATCCTACTGGTCATGATCAACCAACGTGCCACAATCACCAAGCTTTGATCGAGAGAGGATATACTGTATTCACAAATCCTGGGGCCGTCGGCGGCTGCTCATCGCCATGGCTGGCCGGAGACGGCCTCTGCGATCAGGGAGGCCGTGTGCTCCGTCTATAGGACCAGTTTCTGGTGGATGCGAGATGTGGGGCACCTACACAATATCCTCTCAGTTGCCTTCCCATCAACTATGGGCTGGCCCCTTTGGGAGCCTAGAGAGGGACTAGATGGGCCTGGGGTGTGATCTAGAAAGGTTTTTCTGTTTTTTCTGGCATGCACCAGAGACGAGGGTAACAAAGCAGATGGGCAGATATAACAATAATGAAATGCCGTCAAGTTGATTCTCGCTTATGGCGATCCTTTTCTAGAGTCTCCTAGGTATCTAGGCCTGAGAAGTGGTTTCCCCTCCCCTTCCTCTAGGGGGCGCCCAAGGACACCCTGCAGCTGGCCCAGGGCTACCCAGGCTGGTTATTCTCCCAGGACGGTCTGGTGGGGAATCGAAGTCCCAACCTTTGGCTCTGAAGCCAGGAGCACCCTCTCACTGAGCGATCCAGCCAGCTAAGAAGGCGGACTCAAATCACAAGCCCAACCCACTTACTGGGTCTTTTCCAAACTGGTGTCGTCCCCCCTCCCCAGTTGGACTACAACTCCCATCACACCCTTGCTTGCACAACCCAATCTGCTGCTCTCCAGCTATAGAACCCCCACCCATTCCCATCTAGGTAGCTGAAGGCTGCGGGACCAGAGGTTGGGAGTTTGAATCCCCCCACTGGGCCACTCAGTGTTCCATATGGTCCCTTCCAGCTCTGCAGTTCTAAGATGATGAAGATGATGATCCCGTCAACGTATAGCCATTGGAAATTTGCATTCCCATGATTGGCACATTTAAAAAAGCAGCATCTTCTTGGGGAACCCGTTGATCCCAGCTCCCCCCTCCCCGAATATCACTGGGTTTTTGGGGTGTGGAGGGCCTCCCATTCATGCGCTAATTGGTTCTGACACTGCTTTGAAAAATCTCACTGGTTTTGACGATATTTTAATGGTCCAGATTTCACTTAACCCTGGCTTTGTGCGTGGACTGCACAGCGAGGTTTCCGTCCTGCTTTCAAAGCCAACCTTGGAAGGCAGAGGGAGAGTTTGTTTACTGGCTATGCTTTTTTTTGGGGGGGGGGATAATGGGAGTTGTAATCCAGCACCTCAGAAAGAAAGCTGCCCAGTTTGGGACCGCTCCTAATAAAGCTTGACAATGCATCCTTGATGAGCCTCCTGAGTTTATGAGCTGGCTTCACCCCCTTTTTTTTCCAGAAGGAAACCCACTTCACTTCCTTTCTGGAGACGGAGGTAGTGTGTTGTGTAGAGGACAACGGCTTTTAAGGTTTCTTCTTTCACAGGTGTGGTTAAGACAACCAAATGTGTGAGACAGGATTGTACAGAATTTCATGATAATTTTATTTTATTTTTTCTCAAGACTGAAGGTCACTAGAATCTGTGCCTCGTTAAAACAAACAAAAAAAAGATAACCATCAAGAAGTAGACCATCCAGCCAACTGGGGTGGTGTTTATGAACGATTCTTCTTGAGATTTGGCGATTTAGATGGAGGTCAAGTGGAAAACCTTTACTCCCTTCTGAACATGGGCTTCTGAATCTTCCCCTTAATGCTGAGCCATCACTGAGGGCAGGAGCCTGCAAAAGGGAGTAATATAACGTTACAATGGTGACATGCAGAAAGCCGATTTTTGGAAAGTCGGCAGCTTCTTTTTTAATCAGCAGCCCCCTTTCCTGCTTCTATTTTTCAGCAGTGCCCCATATCCCAGGGGAGATTGTACCCAGAGGCTGGAAACATTACTCATTTTGGACTACAAATCCCAGCGTGCTGTCAAGGAGCAGAACCGCTGAGATGATGGGAGTTGTGGTCGCCAGAGGGTGCAATTTCCAGCCTCTTATGGAACATACCATCTAGACTTCTGCGACAAAACAGACACACACATTCCTCATTCTCCAGTTGGCTTTATAGCCTGTATTTACGGATTGTCCTTTATTCCAGCAATCTGCACCATCTTCTTCATGAAATTGACTTTATTCTGCTTTTCCCCGCTTTTGAGCCACTTTGCTTCTGATTGGTATTACAGATTTTTTTAAGTGCGTAGCTGTTCACTCTCTTTACCCTCCAATCCCTGGACTGGAAAAAATAAAATTAAAGGCATGAAGAACCAGCTGCTTTTACCGACTTTGGTGAGGTAGATGGTCCGGTCGATCGGCAAGCCCAGAGTTGTCGCAAGGTGATTGAACCTTTCTCTCGCCTCGTCCGAGGCTTCGGGTTCCCTGGCTTTGGAGACCAAAAGGAACCGCCGCGTTGCAAATTACACCGACAAGGAAAAAAGAAATCAGAAATCCTGGATTTTCAGGCACAAAGACTTCCTGCCACCAGTCTAGAAGGCCTTTGGGGCAAACCAGCAAAAAATGTAAACCCCCCCCATCCCTCTGTTCCCAAAACCAATTTTTGGGGGGCAAAAGGCTCACCATTCAGATGGAGGACCTTCTGGTGGGGAGTTTCGGCATAAAGGATGGCGTAAGTGTCATAATCCGTTTCCGCAATATAAACGGTGCTGTGTTCTAGATTGAAGGGAAAGGGCCACCAAATAAATAAGATAAATAAGAGAAATCAAGAAAGACCTTAAAAGAGATTGAGCCAAAGGTACTTATCCTCCCAGGAGAACATTTTTAACTCATACCCATACGCTTTTTATATAGGAGAATGTAGCATGTTGTGGATTGTTTCCTTGGTGCATTCGGATATTGGTCGTTGGCTGTATTAAAGGTGACTTGACTGAGAGAAACCTCTCTCATCATCTTTGAAATACCACACTTATTACATATGGTTACTGCACGTTCTAAAATGGACATTTGAGAGTAGGAAAAGATGCTGAAAAGGACAGCCCCCCAAATGATTAGGGGAGTGGGGGCGATTCAGGTCCCCAAGATTCATGGCTGCCAGAAGCAGTTATGATTTCTCCGGGCGGTGGTGTTTTACCCTTCCTTCTCTTCACTTACTGGTTTTGAAAACTCCAGGCTGATTGCCTTGGGATAACCAAACCCATTTCTTCTGACAGTTCTCCCTGGTAAATGAAAATAAAAAAGCAGCATAAACTTTCCAGAGCAAGACACAAACTCGACTTCTAAAAGCTCACTTCAAATATTCTGAAGTTTTGGTTCATGCAAACCACATCTAGGCTGCGCGACGTTGCCGGTGGGTTTTTCCTCTTGCTTGCATATATTCAGAGGCACACAGCTCAACCACGTATCGAACGGCTCTTGAAGGGGCATATTCAGAGCTGACCAGGCTTACTCACTCGGGCATTTCAATGTGGACCACAAGATCACCGTCTTCCAGAATCTCCACCGTCTGAGGATGGCTGTTCGGATTCGTTAAACCGCCCAGATTCATCACAACTGCGACGGTGTACCACTTCCCAGAATACTAGCAAAAAGAGAGAGGGGTAGTTATTCAAAAAGATCATCTGATCACACAACACCAGCAAAACGAACCAAGAATCATGTGTTAACCTGAAGACTGGCAAGGTTTATGCGGATGGAGCTTTCTTGCAATACAGGGCCTGACCCCTTTGAGTGAGTTGGGAGCAGGTAAAGGAGAACTGTTGGATGAACCTTAAGAAAGACCTATTTAAGGCTCATCTGAGTCATGCAGAAAAGACGCCATCAGAGGCGGGAATTCCTTAAGTGCTAATCGCGTGTGATTGTCACAGCACGAGCTTTTCTCCCCATCTGTCACTTGCAAATTTTATGTCTATTTATTTATTTATATTTCTAGTCCATCTTTCTCCTCATTAAGAGACCTTGCTTTGTTATCGGTTGTCCGAAGCTCCGCGTTGAGTTGGTCCGCACATCTGATTTCTCAGGCATGAGAGACTGCCACGTTTATGTCTCTCCAACACTAATGTGATGCCATCACTAATTTGGAAGGAATCTGTACTATGCTGCTTGAAAACGTCCAGTTGGACACATTCATCCCCTCTCCTATATTACACTAACATTTTACTAGAAAAAACACCCTACCCATAGCTGAGGATTCCCGCTCAGAGTCACCTCTGCGTTCTTTCCATTATTCGGGACCCCTTAGGCTCTTACCTTTTCCACCTCAAAGTTCGGCTGTACGGTAATGTTGCTTGCAAAGTCAATCACACACAAAATGGCGAGCAGGAACCTCCACATGATGGAGTTCATCTTTCCACCAGTTTCCTTTCCAACAGCTTTGAGTGTTTTGCACCTGTGCACGAGCGACTCTCTCAACAGTGTCTCTCTTTATATAGCCCTCCAGGTAGGTTCCTCTCCATTCCTCCAAGCCCATCCCCTTCCGCCCACCTGTCTCCCAAAGGTGCAGGTGGCTCATTGATTCCAGAAAGGGACGTTTTTCAGAAGTCCTTGTTCCACCCAACCGTGTTGAAAACTCAAGAACATCACGCATTCCCCAAGAATGCTAAGATCAGATATCTACCCCTGTTCCAACCTTGTGGGTGGAGGATGTGTGATGACCTTTTACCATTCAGCCCCAAATTTTCCATCCTCCCTGGCAGCATCTCTCGAGGGATCAAGGTGGAGAGACACGATTTTGTGTTCTCCTGTTGTCTTGCTGCTGGACAGGTAGTTTTTCTGCATTGGTTTAAATGATCACACCGCCCGAAGCCATGCAATAGATCTGTTTTTAAGCAGAAGCCCCAATGGTAGAGGGGAAAATCTATGGCTTTGCAGTGTGGGGGTCTTCAATCTGATTCAAATTTCCCTACTCTTCATGGGGTCATGAAGGGGTGGAATGTGGAGCAGCCCACCTCAAACTTGTAACATTTCTCACATTTTTAGAGTCCCTTTTCAGCACCATGGAGAGCAGCCCCAGAGCTGACAGGAAGAGAGCTACCCACAGCACTGACCTGGGAGTGGAGGGGAAGGCTTTTATAATCAAAGGGGAGGAGCTACCTGGAAGCTCCACCTCCTCAGGCAGATCATCCAGCTGCTTCTTAAAGGGCCAACAGTCTCTTTTGTCCACTTGCAGGCTTCTCCAGAGAAAGAGAATGTCGGAGAGGCAGAGAGTAAGTTGCCCTGTTCTCATGGGGGGTCTGAAAGTTGCATCTCAAGGGCGGGAAGACCACCCTCCTTTTGCAAGGTCCACAGGTGAATTAAAGACAAAGGCTCATGAGCAGAGAGAGAGCTTGGGGGTCTGGGTGGAAAAATCAGGGGGTTAGGGGGATGATATTTGAGCTAGAGAAATAGCCAGAGGGCAAAGGGGCATAAAACCTCCCCCATTTCTTCTCTCCAGGACAGAAGTAGACAAGACAGGCAGCTTCACAATCAGAAGCAGAGCTGGCTTGAGCAGTAAAGGGTGTACGATTATCTTCCAGCCTCATTTGCAGCTCACAAGTAACGAAGTTGCGTGCTTTTATTTGGCGATCGATTAGCGGGTGGATGCAACATGAACATGGATTTCACATCGATAGTAAAAAGGCAGTGGCTGCGCAGAACAGGTCTGTGTACAGATAAGGTTTTATCACCTCCTAAAGGCAAAGCTCCCCGCCGAGAAAAATAAAGCATTTTTGTAAATGCCACTTGAGCATTTGTAAAATTCTTCAGATCAGATATACATGGTTGGGTCTCATTATTTATAATTTGGAGTGCAGCGGCCTCGGCCACATTCGGCTGGAAAATGTGATAATAGAAACAAGCAGTTTTATAATTATCTGAAATGCTCCAGGGAACTTCCAGCTTTTGTGGGGTGGATTCCAACAGGAACTCATATGCTTTGCACACCAGATAGTTAATTTTATTTTTTTAAGGAAGGAAGCAGTGAGTTTTAACATTTTCTCTGCACCATCGCCAGCAGCACACACAGAGAGAGAGACCCCCTCCTGTATTCTCAGATGTTCCCTTATCAAGATTCTCATTATGCACAAGAACCTGTGGAAGAAAAAGAGGTGGTTGTTAGATCAAGAAGCACAACTGGATGCTAAGGTCACACTATTGTAAATGTTCGGTCCTTCAGAATACAAACCTAGGCATTATTTGCAAGTCCAATTTCTCAGACATGAGTGTTTACTGGAATCACATCTTTGGGATGCAAATGTGATCCCAGTTCTAACGACGGGTTGTCTATAATGGACTCTTTGGCCTTCCATCTACCCTGTCTAGCCCAGGGAGGGGTACACCCGAAGCATCTAAACACTCTTACCGGTTTGGGGTACATCAACAATTTTGTCCGCCGAGAACCCCAAGGAGGTGGCGAGGTCCTTGAATTTTTTTCTTGTGCTCTCTTGTACGGTTGTCTGTCTCGCTTCAGAAACAGAGAAAGAAAGACGATGCAACGTAACCTGACAGCCAAGCACATTCGGAATTTGCAAGGAAAATTCAAACCCCATTCCCACTTTTGTCACTTTCCAGAGAAAGGAAAGGCAGGGTATCAGCAAGCGAGTGGAGCACCTGAGAGTAACTAATTACAAATAATGAGTTACTTATTGCTAATTCCTTTTCTTTCTTTCTTTCTTTCTTTCTTTCTTTCTTTCTTTCTTTCTTTCTTTCTTTCTTTCTTTCTTTCTTTCTTTCTTTCTTTCTTTCTTTCTTTCTTTTTTCAATAGGCCTAGCTATGCTACATGACAATTTCAACAAAACCAACCAAGAATCATGTGTTAACCTGAAGACTGGCAAGTTTTATGTGGATGGAGCTTCTTTGCAATACAGATGGCTTCTTCAGATGCAGAAGACCCCCTTGCAATCAATGGGAGAAGCTCCTAGAAGCCTTCCTGAGTGGGTTGCAATGCACACAATATTATGCCAAATAAAAAACATGGTCATCTTTAAGGTGCTACAGGACGCTTTGTCACTTTCGATTAAGGCTTCTAGAAACTTTCAGATTATGCTTGTGACTTCATGAGGGGTCTTTTCTTAGGGTGGAAGAGCCCATCTTGAAACCCTCTCCCTCCGTCCAGGAGGTGTACCTTCCAGGTGCAGAATTTTGTAGAGCTTTGTGGCAACATGAAGAACATGGTAAGTGTGGTAATCCGTTTCCACCACCTGAACGGTGCTTCCTGTTGGGTTGCAGAAAGAAATGCATGAAGTCCAGAAAATGCCGGGAGTAAAGAGGCAAAATACCGTTCGTTTTCAGAACTTAAACAATGATGGCCAAATTTGAAAGCAGATCTCTGCCTTTTAAGCTGGCCCGTTTAACAAAAAAGCTTCACCCGTATTATCTACTGAGGAGGGTAAAAAGCAGACACGCTTCCCTGCTTTTAACATCATGTCTGGATTGGCGGGAAGACAATTTGTCTTCAATGGTTGAATTGTTGAAGACAAATTTTCAAGGGGGTAAGACTGGACTGTGGTGCTGGAGGAGGCTCTTGAGAGTCCCCTGGACTGCAAGGAGAACAAACCTATCCGTTCTGAAGGAAATCAACCCTGAGTGCTCATTGGAAGGACAGATCCTGCAGCTGAGGCTCCAGTACTTTGGCCATCTCATGAGAAGAGAAGACTCCTTGGAAAAGACCCTGATATTGGGAAAGTGTGAAGGCAGGAGGAGAAGGGGACGACAGAGGACGAGCTGGTTGGACAGTGTAATCAAAGCTCCCAAAATGAATTTGACACAAATCTGGGAGGCAGTGGAAGACAGGAAGGCCTGGCGTGCTCTGGTCCATGGGGTCACGAAGAGTTGGAGATGACTTAACAATTAAACAATAACAAAAACTGGACTCCAGGGACTCCCTAAGGGACCCGGACATGACTAAACGACTAAACAATAGCAAAAACTGGACTCCAGGGATTCCCAAAGGGACCTCAGACCCCACCAATTGGTCAAACTGGCCTTCTGAAAATCTGGTTGCACAAGGCGATGGGACAAAGGCTGGGCTTTTTCCTTCAATCCACCCTGGCCCCAGCGTCGTCCTCCTCCGGACTCACCCTCTGCCGTGAAGACACCAGGCTCATCCGTGTGCTGAAAAGGCATAATTTTAGTGGTGCATTCTCCGTTTCTGGAAAGAAGAGACCGCGGCTGACAAGACCATCTCGACAACGAAAACGGAAAAGGACCGAGAGTGCTTGGAAGCCTGGTGTGTGGGAGAGCATTCCTCGAAGGTGTGGCCAGGGTCTCCCTCGGGAGTGGCGGCGTTTTCTCCCAAGAAACACTCCCGATTCTCAAGAGAGGCTTTTCCCCCTTGAATCTCCATAAAATGTAAACAGAAACCATACGTGCCCTGCTTGGCCATCAATTTTGCAACTCCCAAGGATGGACGGCAACAACGAAACCCTGTTCTCAAAAGTAAATTCATTTTAAAGAGGTGATTCAGCCATTTCAAGGGTCTGCTTGGTCCTCAGAGGGATCAACTCTGCACCCAGTTTTCAACACCGGCCCCTTTCAAAGGGCAATGTTGGCTGCTGAAAATGGAAAGGCATTTTCCACAACTGGCACCCACTCCCCTCCCCCCCAAAGGGCTTCCTGTTTTCATATTTCCAATGCCTTAAAAAAAATATTATTATTACATTTGGTGAGGGGATGGCTTCCATCAGAGGGGCTCTCCAACCAGGGGCGGCGGCTTCTCCCGTACAAATATTGGGATGAACTAAAGAGGGGGTGGATATTAGACTGGGATTTATGAAACCAGATGGTCTCTACCACGAAAACTGAAAAAGCAAATTGCAAGCCCACTTTCCCCTCCCAAAAGAGCAAATTCGCTGCAGGTCTACTCATTATGTGCTTACATATTTTTGGCTATGGAATCGGGTTCTCAAGACTGGAGGTGGGTGAAGGCTGGCCGATGGGAAACCCAACCCAACTCAACCCAACTCAACCCAACTCAACCCAACTCAACCCAACTCAACCCAACTCAACCCAACTCAACCCAACTCAACCCAACTCAACCCAACTCAACCCAACTCAACCCAACTCAACCCAACTCAACCCAACTCAACCCAACTCAACCCAACTCAACCCAACTCAACCCAACTCAACCCAACTCAACCCAACTCAACTCAACCCAACCCAACCCAACTCAACCCAACCCAACCCCAATGCCTCCTCCACAGGACGTGAACAGATGGCGGGGGATTTCACTCACTCAAAGATCTCCACATCCATGTCTATGTCCCCGTTACTTTTGGGGACAGCCGTTCTTCCTACGATGGAAACTTCTTTCATCTTCCCGTCTTTGTCCATCACCAGCTGGATGGGGTACCACTGCCCGCTAAACTAGAAGAAGAGAAAACCGACAAGTTCTTAGTTGTTTTTCCGCAAGAAAAGATGCTCTTTTCTTGGGTGGTTCCAGCTGATTATGGAAAGTCACATTCCTCTATTTGGCTCTCCCATAATTAGCCACACCGCCTATCTGGACTTGCTTGCCCCATCCTTCTCCAAGCTAATGGGGCAAATCTGACTTCTAATTACATCATGACCATGACAATAATCACAAGCTTAGAACTGCAGAGGTAGAAGGACCCTATAGATTATCTAGTCCATGCCTTGTCAAGGAGCCACAGTGGGGAATCGAACACTTAGCCTCTAGCTTCGTAGCCAAACACTGAGCTATCCAACCGTTCAATCGTCCCCTTATTTTGCCATTACCCGGGCGGCATCAAAGTTGGGCTGCACAGGCACCTCCGCTGCGTTGGGATACCAGCAAGTAAATGCCAACAAGAGGCTCCACAGAACTATCCGAATCATCCTGCAGAAACTCGCTGCGACTCCAGCCAGGTGAGTCTTCGGGATGGTCGGAGGCTCCTCAGCCCTGGGGTGAGCCCACCTCTCGGTCCTGCCCTCCTCTTCTTTTCTCGAAGCTTACCTGAGCAGGTCCAGTCCATCTCCAAGGAGGCCGTTATAAGACAGAGGGGGAGGAAAGCCGCAGAGAATCCAGTGTGCCAAGGAAGCTGTTTCCTGGATGGGTGTATTTGGAACATTTCAGAACAGCTCCTGCCCGTCACAGCCTGTTCTGTCACCGCGCCAGAAGACAATCTGCAATCAGAGACCCCCCAGTTTCTTGCAGCCGAGGGGTGGGAGGCAGCTTGTGATCAATGGAGCAACACGGAAGGACTTGAGCTACTTTTGAGCACCTGCTGGATGTGGAAGGAGGAGGTTTCACGAGATCAAAGGCCACAATCCTGTCCTAACTTCACGTTATCACAGGCAAAGCTTCAAGGAACTAGACAGACCTTGTGAAGGTGGCCAGAAGCATGAAAGTCCCAGAGGAGTGGGAATCTGTTCCAAGGGGCAAATTTACAGCTACTGGGGGCACAACGGGCTATTTTTGTACAGTACCGGTTCTATTTTTGCAAGGCTTGGAGGCTGGAGGGAATGACTTAACAGCCTCATCTCGTGTGAAGAAGGCTGATCTACGGATGAGGGTCAGTGGGTGATGGAAAGAGCACTGGCCTGCTTGGGAGAGACGGCTTATGAAGAATTGCTCCCTTCTACAGCTAAAACCAGTTATTCGTGTCACCTGAAATGCAACGCATGTCAAGTTCCCCTGTAAACCAGGAACACCGACACAATGGTGTGCAATAGAATGAAGGCAGATGAACTGAAACTGTCAAAAGTTTTGGTCTCCAGAAAGACAAGGGTTGTATAGGGGCAAAGGGGCATAGATATTTTAATCTTTCACCCCAGCAGAATGTGTTCAAAGGAGGATGAGATGCAGATACTGGGTTTTTACTGGTTTCCCCGATTGCTGTTCAAGGAACAGCATGATAGCTTTCTATTCGACCTATTTAGCATATCATCAATGCCTGCCCTTTTCCTCTGCCAGCAATTTGCTATGTCTAAATGAACGAAAGAGGCTTGGACAAGAATTGCTTTTAGACTCTCTAATGTGTGTTTGTACTATTTATGTTATGTTCCCCGATTGCTGTTCAAGGAACAGCATGACAGCTTTCTATTCAAGTTATTTAGCATATCATCAGTGCCTGCCCCTTTCCTCTGCCAGCAATTGCTATGTCTAAATGAACGAAAGAGGGTTGGACAAGAATTGCTTTTAGACCCTCTAATGTGCGTCTGTACTATTTATGTTATGCTACATCAAGTTGGAACCAAGTTGTAGTGACTCTAATAGGGTTTTCCATGCAAGTCACGTATTTAAGGAGTTGCCGGTTCTAACACCATCACACCACGACTTTCCATCACCAATCAAGGATTTGAACCCAGTCTGAGTCCAAGTCATTCACTTCCTCCCACCGCCACACCTGGTAGCCTTCATATTACAGCATGAAGATTTTAGCAATAGGGGGGCTTGTGGGGGGCTGTGGTGCATTAATGAGAAAAGAAAAGTTAGGTTCTGAGCAGATCTAAAGATTTAGGGTTGGATTCAGGAGGGACCCAGATTTTGCACGCTTTGACTAGGGGCAAGTAGCTGGTGACCGTTGGCCAACCCTAGTCCTCTTCCATTGGTGTTGCCCCCCACACCATCCCCACGAGCCACCTAGTAGCCAAGGTGAGGATGACCATTGCCAGCCTCAGTCCTTTTACAAATGTGGGACTGATCCATCCCTTTGTTATCCCTAATTGACACAGCAGCATTCCCCCCTCAAAACCCTATCTTTACATAAAAAAACCAAGCTAATGGCTCTTATTTTGGGTGTGCGTGTGAATTCACTCATGTTATAATCTGAATTTCCACATAGCCCGAGCACTCTTCCTGTGGCCCATAGGGGGTAGATCCTGAACTTTTCCCTACAAACGCCAGTATTCCTGAGAATTCAATCATGGCAGTTAAAGTGAAATCAAACTGCAGTAATTGTACAATGCAGGGACACTCTTGATATTTTGAAGAATCACTCAAAAACACAGAGAGACGCGCAACTGAAGGCTTGGGTCTCTTTATTTAGATGGGTTTCGGACAGAGTCTCAGTGACCGAGATGAGAAACTCCAGGGACCCAAGCATTTGCTACATCCATCCACGAATTCACGGACATGAATCTGTGGAAGAGAAGAGGTATTTCGTGATTAAAACGGGAAATGAGGAAGACTGTCAGGTTGCCAATGCGTTTATGGGGACCTGCTCTTCTCTCAGTCGTGCGGGTATGATCAATGCTCGAAAGCAGAGCTGGTCACCCACTCAACCCCAGTGAGCTTGCGTTACAGCCTGCTTTGTTCTCTGATTGGCTGTTGAGAGGCCAACACGGGCTTAATTTGCAGGTCGGACGGCTGCGCGTCCCTCTTAGAGGGAACCCAGTTGCGGAAGGAGAAAAAAATGAGCTAATTGGAGGGAAGGCACAGTTTGGGGCTACAAAGACATCCTGGAGGAAAAGGGGCCACATACGGGAGCCCCCACGATTCCTACATCTTCTCCATGACAATTTTTTTTTTCCAGGAAAGCTTGGGTGAATTTTACTGGAAACCAGTAACAATGGCGGAGGAGATGCCACTGAGGGAAAGACAGAGAGAGCAGGCCAAATAAGTAGCCATTCTAACGGGCCCTAGGGGAGTCCGGAGGGGGGGACGCCGAGTCCTCGCCATGAGCCCGGGTGGGGAGAATGGGCTTCAGCAGTCAGAGCCATCTCAGATGATGATGAGGCTGAATATCCGCCAATTCGAGGAGCCGCCAAGAGTTCATGAATTCGGCTGTTCCTTACCGTATTTGGGCACGTCAAGAATCTTGTCCACCGGGAATCCCAAGGACGAGACAATGTCCTTGAATTTCTGTCTCACCCTGTCAGAGACCGACCGCCGCCTAGCTTCAAGTCCAAATTCGAAATTGGGTGGGCGGTTCCCCCCCACAACCGTGGAAAGACAGAAACATCAAATGAGCGAGTGAGGCCAGAAAGCTTTCTGGAGTACTTAATTCTTTTCGGTTGTTTTCTGAATATTTATAAACTGCTCAGCTCTGACGCAGAGAAAACAACGCATGGGATATGATACCACATGTAATGCGCAGCCAGCGAGATACAACGGTTTTTAGGGTGGTATGAGATTGAGGAGACCCGGTTTCCAGTCCAAGCTTGGAAACCTTACTGGAGAGAGAGTGGGACAGAAAAATAACTAAGAAAGAAATAGCCCCCCAGATAAAAATATTTGGAGATATAGACACAGCCTGACCCTGGTTTATATCAAAAGCAAAGAAACTTGGGCCATTCCTCGGCCCTTCTGAAGGCCGAAAACCTGATCCTATATCCAATCACTGCATGGACAGTGTTGGATGATGATGTTGAGAATGATAATTTATACCTCACTTTTTAAAAAGTATCCAAAGCGGAAAGCAATATGATAAAAGCATATGCTAGTGACACACATAAGTAAAGGATAAAATCCTCACAATTTTCTAGGTGTTTTGTAGAAACTACGAAAAAATAGTTTCTTCATAGCACCACGCCTCCCATTGGCATTAAATTTGGGGAGACACATCTGAGGGATTCTGAGGGGTGTAAAATCCATGCAATGAGACTCGAAAAGGACCATTTCCCTTCATCTATCATAAGAATATTTTGTCCAGAGTTTGGGGTTTTTTTTTCTCCTGTGTAACCCCCACACACCCATCTTTCGGGCACCCAGTCTTTAAGGCCACCATCCGTGACACGTACCGTCTAGATGGAGTGCCGATTTGCCTACAGCTTCGAGGTGGAAAATGAGGTAATCGTCATAATCGGTCTCCACGATGCGGATGGTGAAGCCGCCTTCATCCCAAAAAGAAGCGGAAAATATTAAAGAGGAAGGAAAACTTACTTCCTATTTAGACCCTAAAGATTCTGACGTTTTAAAAGCCATTTTAAAAAAACATTAAACCATGCAATGCACACCTTTTAAAAAATCTCATGCTTTTCTTAAATGGTGCTTAACTCATATGTTATATACACCCAGAAAGGATCTTAAGAAGAGGAATTCGAGAGAAAACCTTGTTCTGGATTCTGCTGGAGGGGAGATTCTGGCAAGTTCTGGCAAGTTTTTGTTCCCAAAAACCTAAATCCAATTGTTTTGTTCCTAGAGAAAGATGACCAAATCCATGAGGACATGAGGAGTCAACATTTACACACACTGCATTGATCCAATAGGTCTCCTCTAACGAGGATGAAAAACAAAAGTAAAATTTCGCCAGCTCGTGATAAATTCAACCATGTTCTGTTTTGTTCAGATGAGTTTATTATGCATACAGTGGTGCCTCGCTAGACAGTTACCCCGCATGACAGTTTTTTCGCTAGACATTGACTTTTTGCAATCGCTATAGAGATTCGCAAAACAGTGATTCCTATGGGGGAATTTCGCTGGACAATGTTTGGTCCCTGCTTCGCAAACCAATTTTCACTAGACAACAATTTTGACAGCTCCCTCCGCGCTCACAAAAGAGGTGTTTTCGGGACCTAAGCATTGCAAGACAGAGGTTTTCGGGACCTAAGCTTCGCAAGACAGAGGTTTAGACAGCTGGTCGGCGGTTCGCAAAGCGGCTTTCCTATGACCGATCTTTGCTAGACAACGACAATTCTTCCCCATTGGAATGCATTAAACAGGTTTCAATGCATTCCAGTGGGGAAATGCTTTTCGCTAGACGATGATTTCGCTAAACAGCGATTTCAGTGGAATGGATTATCATCGTCTAGCGAGGCACCACTGTATTGTATCTTAATAACAATTTTGCAGTAGGAGCTGCTGGAGAAATCCAGGGGTTTAGGTCTCTGCCTGTGGAGACAAAAGTTGGGAGTTCGATTCAACTGGTCTCTGCCTGTGGAGCCAAAAGTTGGGAGTTCGATTCAGCTATCCATAGGGTCCATTCCAGTTCTGCATTTGCAAGATTATTATAGATAGTATATTAAGCAATTATGTAAGTATTGAAATTCTGCCGGTAACGATGTTAACCTAATGCTTTTAATAATATATTCTTCTTGTTGTCATTATTTATGATTATGATGTTGAGGAAGTCAACTGTGGAGCCAAAAGTTGGGAGTTCGATTCAGCTATCCATAGGGTCCATTCCAGTTCTGCATTTGCAAGATTATTATAGATAGTATATTAAGCAATTATGTAAGTATTGAAATTCTGCCGGTAACGATGTTAACCTAATGCTTTTAATAATATATTCTTCTTGTTGTCATTATTTATGATTATGATGTTGAGGAAGTCAACTTTGGCCTTAAAACTGATGACAGACTGCTTTTTCAGGAAAGTCAAAACTGATTTGGGAAAAGGTTTCTTTCTTGAGCGGTCTTTTAGCTAGAATAGTTCCAACCAAAAGAGCAAACAAAATATAATTGGAGTGATTAAAGATAAAACGGGAAAGAACTGTAGTTTAATGAAAGAAAAACTAAAGCTAATACAGGAATTCTATCAAAATTTATATAAAGGTAATAGAGTATCGAAAGAAGATATAGAAAATTATATTAAAGAAAATGTCAAGAGTAAATTATCAGAGAAGGATTAAAAAAAAAGATTTGGATAAAGAGATAAAAGAGGAACAGATTGTAGAGATTATTAATAAATTAAAAAATGCTAAAACTCCAGGTTTTGACGGATTAAGATCAGAATATTATAAAACTTTTTAAACCCTCCTCAGGTCCCTGCCAGACCTCAAAACAAATCCACCCACCCCAATGGGACCCTTTAAAAGGAGAGGAGATTCCTACACACTTACGATCCACCATAAACTTCCCTTGCATGTTGGTACGCCAGAAGGTGTCCATTCTTAAAATGCAATGCCCGTTTCTGCAAAGAAAGGAACCATCAGGATCAGCTTCTTCCTTGCAAGCAAAATGTCCATCATGGGTGTGTGTGTGTGTGTGTGCATGAATAACTCCCTTTAAAAAATGAGGAGATGAAGCATTTCACGGAAAACTTACTCAAAACTCTCGAAGTCAACATCCAGGTTTCCGTTGCCTATGGGTATCATTGTTCTCCCCGCCACCGAAAGGCTGCCCCTGTCCTCATAATCCATCACCAGTGAAATGGGATACCATCTCCCTGCAAGCTGGAGAGAGGCAAATCAGCCTGAGGGTCAAACAAGGCAGTTACAGACCACCCGTCATTAGAAAAGGGAATTCCTTAAATACTGAAAACATCTCATTGTCTCTGCAGGCAGTCTTCATATATTTTACCAGCACGCAAATGAATTTGATTCATTTTTGGGATTCGGTCTCCAGATTTGCAAGATTTAATGGTCCCAGGCAGCCACGAGAAAGCCTCTTTTCTTATCTTTTTGGGAGGGGGGGGAAGCATCTGGCCAGCAAAAAGGAAACACCCAAAATTGTTATAGAGACGCTTTAGTCATTACCTGCACAGGATCTAAATATGCCTGTATAGGCACATCAGCTGCTGTGTGATGCAGGCATATCAAGGCCAAAAGGATGCTCCACATCTGGCACATCTTTGCCAACACCTGCTACGGACCCAGACCGGTGAGGCTTTGCAACAGCCAGAGGTTTCTGTGCTCCTGGAGAAGGATGTCCCGCCTCCCTTCCCGAAGGCCGTCCAAGAAAACCCACCCACCACCTCAAGAAAGTTGGCTACGAGGGAGGAGAGGAAGAAGAGGATGTAAGCACCGGACTGTCTGTCTGTTACTTCCATGGGCATACGCTGAAAACGTGTTCTGAACACTGTGACCATCACGGCCTGTCCTGCAGGGACCCCCGGGATGATTGGATGATGATTAACCTGCAACCAGATATTCTCCACCCCTTTGGTAAAGGGTAGCTCTTAAGGAACTGAAAAATCTGAGCAGCATTCAAAAGCCACCAGGAGCCCTTCCAGTGTGGGACTAAGAGTGCCCACCCCATAGAAAAAAATATGCCCCACCAAATGTCCCCCCCCCCAAGGCTGGGAGTCAAGGCTGCAACAATTTAAAACATTCCCCTCCGGAAAGTTTTGCTAATCAGATTAAGAAAAACCATTATTTCTTGGCTGAGCATTTTTAAGCCCACTTTTCAATACTATGGCAGGAAAAGTACCCCCCAATCGGCTTCTAGCGAAAACACTTATAAATAATAGTTTTTCCATTTATTCCGCACTCCAAATAACTTGAAAATAATCCCTAACCGAAGAGTTTTTAAAGTCCGTCAAGTGCGTCGGACCTTATCAGCCTGAGTCATCCATAACTAAGAGACCATTGGTAATAGCGTGGCTTTAAAAAAAATCTTGTAAATAAATAAGAGTTAAAAAAAACAGCCAGCCAGAATATACAGAATCAGTGAAAATCAAACTCTGGTAAAAAAAATCTTGTAAATAAATAAATAAGAGTTAAAAAAACACAGCCAACCAGAATATACAGAATCAGTGAAAAATCAAACTCTGATTATTTCTGGTTCAGGGTTTGTTTTATGCTTGTCTAGAACTCTGCTTGATCATCAAGAGGTTTGTAAAGCAATTAACATAAAAGAGAAAACTGTGCGTTAATGAATTAATTATTGTTTAAAATCCCCTGTGTCTCCCAATATTTAAAGGGACAGTTTGCTTTCTCTGGAAGGACTAGCCAGCAGCTTGGATTAACCCATATTTATTTTGATTATTTAACTGCCATGCCAGAAGAAGATGCAAACTCCTTTTGAAACGAAGAGTTTCGGATTGCGCACCGCTTCATCCGGGCTAGGTTCTGACACCCCTGGGATCAGAGGCCAGCTTTGGGAGCCGATCCCCAAAATCTGGGCCGTCCTGCGCCCAAACATCTGCCGATCCGCCATCATGAGAGAGATCGTGCACCAGCCAGCCCAAATTAGAGGAGCCGTCTTCATGAAAATATTCCTTTCGGATAAGACTATACTTAACACACGTGGGCCTCTTTCCGCTCCTTGAAGGAAGCTGGGAAAAAGTTCTGTCGCCAAGCATGAGTCAAGCAGGGAGATCTTAACATCTTAACATCTACGATCTGTTGTTATGTATTCATGACTTACTACATTATTGGTCAGGGGGGGAGAGAGAGAAAGAGAGACCCTAGGAAAGGGTAGGAAATTCTAGGGAAAGTTTGATGGCCACGCAAGTCTTCCGTGGCCCACCACATACATTGCATGGTGTATTACTTCAGCACAGAAAAGGAGGCCACGAATCTCAAAAACCACATGGATTTCAAGGGATCAGAAAGGGTTAATTCCATGTATAGATTTAGGATGACTTTCCTCATTTTAAAAACCATCTGCTCATTTAATAACAGCATGTAATACCCCTTGCTTAGTGATATTTAATATAAAGTTTGC